ATTTAGAAATAATTGCTATCGCTTAAATAGAAAAACAGTACATTTCATCAGAGTGGGAAATACTGTGTGAACAGGTGATCTGTGTTCCTGCTCCCTTTGCTGGGCAAACCTGATGGCAGGTTTAAGGCCCCGGCTCTCCTTATGGTTCTTTATCTCTAAACTAGACTTCGAACCCACAGCCCATCAAATAGAGAAGGAATGTAAGACAGACAGTAGGACTGAAAGAAGTCCTGTTCAGTTGCAGAACTCCATGACCCAGGAAAATGTGCTGGACAATTATTTTTTTAGTAATTCGTTGAACTAAAAGATTCTGCACGTAGAGCTGGATTAAAAGTACATCTGCAAAATTAAAGGTGTTTTGTTTATAGCAGGGAACTAAGGTTGGAGTATTACCCAGCTGGTGTCCTTGCACAAGCGTAATGGCTCTCCCTGCAGTAGGAGGTGTCTGCTCATGGAAGAGGGGGGCAATTTTTGATGATTCCTCAGCCAACATTCTTGAACAGATTTTCAAGGGGGGCTGGATGGAAAATTTTGAGGGGTGGAAAGTGGCGGAAAGGTGTGTCTTGTGGTTTGCCCTGCGGCCCCAAAGCTTGCTTGCTTGCTACCCTAGCATGGCTGGTGCACCAATGAGGCAACTTGAGGCAACCTGTCTTGAGCAGTATGCTCCTATCACCCCACCAAGGCATCTATCAGGATCTGTGCTGCTGATGGTGGAAGCATTGGTAGCATATTTGCCTCAGGCCAGGGGTGCCAACTTGAATAAAATATTGTGGGGGCCCAGGTAAGTCCAGCCCTGCATAATCAACACAGTGCACACACACCATTTGAATGGGAATACCCATCAACTTCCTGGGGGCCCAGCCCCCTCAAATATGTTTATTGTGGGGGCCAAAAACCCCACAGTCCCTAGGAGTTGGCTCCTATGCCTCAGGCAACAAAAGGTCCTTGGACCAGCCCCGTGTTGGGGGCTACTGGGTGGAAAGGAAAACTCTTCCATGAGTTGATGCCTTTGCTGATACAACAGCATCAAGAACCTTACTTAGATACCACCCATTTTCTCATATAAATCGATTTCAGAAACTGAAATAGTGTTTGCGTACTTATACCTTCTCAGTATGGCTGGGTTCTGGCTGTTTTCCACAAAATTAATAGGAAAGCCATGCCTGATAGGCGCATTTCAAAGAAGCACAGAATTGAGAGAGATACCACGCTGTTCTGTCCACTGTCCAATGTTAAAGGCAGAAATGAGGTTGAAAGGAAGACCCCATCTGAGAGACCGCCTGTACAGTTTTATCGGGAGTGGAAACAGGTTAACACATCAAAGCCAGTCTCACAGGTTATTCCGGCCCTTCTTGGAGACATCATGAGCAATTACATCATAGCACGGTGGCCAATGAACGATGTAGCCCTGGCTTTGGTGCTTTTCTCCTGCTGCCATGGCAACCTGTTGCTTCAAGGCAGAATCAAAGGATCACAGCAAACGGAGAGAGAATGCCATGCTAATGAGTTCTGCATTTAAAAAAAACCACACTAATCCTGTTTAAAATGATAGAAACAGCAACAGGAGAGGAGAGCCAAACAATTGCACACAAAAGGAGCAATGTGTTTCATTCCCTTTATGTAGCACCAATGCTCTATCCCCAGTGTAAGGCATCATATCCCAGGACTGTACATTTGGGAGACCAGAAAATACAAGTCAGGCATGCAGCAAGTGTTGCAGTGTGGGTGCTCCTGTTCAGGGTTTCAGCTAGCCAGTCATGCCTTCTTTCAGAATACTTACTTCCTCCCCTTACCCCTCTCCTTTGGTTTTCCAGTCCCACCTCCCAACAGACACTCAGCAGTCTTGGTCCTCACTTAGACATTTTGAGGGTGACATATAGGGTCGCTTTTCCAAATATTCAACCTTAGGGTTTGCTGATGCCCCCTCTTGGATGTGGGTGGCCCCATTTTTGGTTGCATAAGGAGTGACTCTTGGAGAAAGGATGCAAGGTGCAAAACTCTGGTGTGTGGCTTGACTAACATAGAAGATTTAATGGGCTTATGCCAAGTCACTTTTTGAATACTATCAAGCTTGTAAGTGGTCCAGCTTGTGGTGACCAGCTTGTAAGAGAGACTAGAATGGTCACCACATCCTTGACCTTTATTTAGAAAGATCCATTGATGAGGGCAAATGATAAGAAATCTGTTTAAACAAGGCTGCATTAAGAAATCGGGACATCTAGTTAGATTTCATTAGGGCAAATGCAGGATTCATTGTCCTTTTTGTTATTTCCTGTTAAATGTGCAGTACTTTATGTTTGACAAGTAAGTACGCAATGGATAAAAACAGAATCTGAGGGGAATTTGTCGTATCCCCCCCCCAACCTGCTACCTCTGAATCCTCAGAGATAAAAGATTATCTTTGCTTCTAAATCAGCCAAGAGATAGCCAGGACATTAACTTCATCGTGTATGTTTAACCAGTTTTGATGACATTTTAATGACATGTTGAGGGCAAGCTAATAATCAACCCAACTCTTCTGCTAAAAGTTTTTTAGGAGTCTGAGCTGAAAAATTTCAAAAATGATGACCAACTGATATTGATTTAGGCAGCAGCACAAACTCTGTAGAAAACATTGTGAAACTTTGTTAGCCAATGAGCATTAAATGATTAATAGTTTGATAGGTGTGCTGATGTTCTTCTGCGTCAGAGCAGACCCACTGAAATCGATGTCTGAGTGTAACTTTGTGGGCTACAACCCTATGTGGTTACGAGCTATAAAGGGAGAATTGAAAACTTAGTCTTACAGTGCAGTTCTACTCAGAAGTATGCCCTTTAGCAGTCTTTCCCAAACTTGGGTCTCCAGCTGTTTTTGAACTACAACTCCCATCATCCCTAGCTAGCCGGACCAAAGGGGATGATTGTAGTCCAAAAACAGCTGGAGACTCACATTTGGGAAGTCCTGCCCTATAGAATTCAATGAGACTTACTCCCAGCATAGTTAGGCATGCTAACAGGAGTTGTGTTTCAAAACATTTATTTGCTTGGTTCTTAAAATTACATCTTTGGCCCACCTTTCTTCCACCACAAGCTGTATACCATACTTCACTTGATAGCTGAGGTCTCCTGATGGGGCACTTCTGGTGGTTCCACATGCTTCCCTGACATTCTTCTGACCTTTATTAGGGGCTAAGACTTTAATGTGGCAGGCCCTGTCCTGTGGAACTCCTTGCCAATGGGTTTGGCAGGAGGCATCCCTGCTCATTTTTAGATGTCTTCTAAAAACTGCATTATTCAGGCAGGCAGGCATTTCAAATTTGAGGCTCTCTGCCAACCAGCTTTTGTTTGTTTGGGCTTTTTATTTATTGTAATACTATGCTTTTAGTCTGCATACCACCTTGAGATATTTTATATGAAAATGGTAGTCTATAGATACTTAAATAAGTCAACCACATTGAAAGCACACACACACGGCAATGAATACCGGGAACTAAAGTTTGTTAAGGGTACTGGGAACTGTCGTTCTTTGAGGGATAAATTGCAGTCACCATGATCCTTTGGGGTTGCTTTAAATGTGCTTCAAATGTATTGTGTGTGCATAGCCATGGAGCCCAAAGCAGTGCACAAGAGCTTCTTAGTTTCAGCAAGGTGGTGATTTGTGTACTTTCGGACCATTTCCTGGAACCATATCTTGTGAACATCGGGGGGGGGGGCAATAGGTTGGGAAAGGCTGCTGCACACACTCCTTTCTGTTGCATAACATGAAGAGGCATGATGCCTTTGGAAATGGTTGTGGAACGCCCTTCCTTGAGGACTCATGCCTTGAAGACTCATTTGTTCACTTTTTCTTTAGCAGTGCTCTTGTGCCGTTGATTCCTGAGACTTGGCAGTTCCTTACAAGTATGAATTCTCACACTTTTCCCACTCAGGTGTATTCGACAGGATCTCCCTTGGTTGATCTTCATCTTCTGGGGAGACTGTACCCCAAAAGGCATGCATTAAGAAATGCTTAAACAACAAATGAATACACTTGTGCCCTGATTTTGAAGAAGTCCCCATTGACTTCATTGAAACCTCCACTTTCTCAGCATCCTTGAAAAACTAGTTATTTCTCTTTAAAGAACCAGGACCTTCCCTGCCCCCGCCCCCTTTCAGTAATGAAAATAACCTATTGAAAACAGAAAACATACTTGGGAGCAAACATGCTTCTTTTAGCATGACTCCATAGCCATCCATTCACAAAACTATAGTGCCTGAATTTAAGTCAAGGAATCAAATGGTCCTAAAGACCCTATTTATATGTTCCATTGTTTTATTCCTCCTCCCTCCCCAGTCATACATTATGTGATTCTGATTCAGATATATGTGTGTGCCCAAATGGATAAATGTATCCTCACATCTATTAAAATGGAAAGAGGGCCCATTGCAGTCATGGAGCCTTCTGAATCAAGGTCAGCGACTACAATCCCAAAGGCCATGTTGCCCAAAGGCTCAAAACTTCTTTAACACGTGAGTGAGCCAGCCAGGAAAGACTCTGCAGATGTTCTTAGATGGGCCCATAGTTCTCTCTTGCATTGATTTTGGGATACTGAACAGCGTATTTAGAGTCTGAGCATTACTCCCAAGGAAAGCAATGGGAAAACTGACTTTAAGTACACTGACCAGTAAAGGTTGTTAATCAATCACATCTCATAGAACTGGATCTTTTTCAATGACCCAACCTCTACTGGGAGAATTTCAAGCTATAGAAGAGCAAAGTTCCAAAAATTTTACCATCTTATCCAGAGACACTTATCTAACAAACAGTATTCCTTTACCAATTTTGTTTGCAATTGTGTGTACACACTTAGGACATACTTGCAAGCAAAAATGCACATGACTGGGCTACACATTTCTTTTTGGGACCAGCAGAGCACTCTATAGTAACTCAAAGTAAAACACAGTCTATTGTCCAGAAATAATATTTATTCATCAACCATAAAACACAGAATAGAAAAAGCTTTATAAATAAAACTATATATATTATATATATAATATGCTTTATTTTTATTCAGTACTCCACAAAAACACTACACACAATAACAAAATATTTCAATTCATTTAAAAAACCTCATAGAATGCAGTTGTCATTCTGCCATTGTCATGATCTGCCGTGGTCATTGTTTTACATAGTTTCACTTAATTACATAAATCTGTTTCTTAAAAAAATTGAAGCAATTTGTTACATGACCAAGATTTAGAACATTGAAAGATACCCATAAACAACAGAACAGCTCAGAGGAGTTTACGCAGACTGTTCAATGTCAAATCATGTACCACTGGGACCAGTTGAGACACAGAACTGGGCCACTTTTTGCACCTGCAGGGATCCTCTGGGCATGTTCATTTGCATGAGCAAAACAATGTGTTTGCTGGGAACTCACAGATATCATCTCTAGGAATCTCTGTGACCATGTTCCAAAACTTTTATCAGAGATCACAGAGGTAGCTACAGCTGAGGTCCATGAGCTCCCATTTCAGATGTAACATTACTCATGAAAATGCAGGTGCCAGAATTCCTATGTGCATAAAGCAGCTGTGTGTAATGTCTGAACATGCCTCAAATTGTTAAAGAAAGGTAAATCACAACAGAACTGGGGTAGAAGTCAATACAATGAAGAGAAATAATAAGGAAATAACTACATATTTTCCATTGCCCTTTTAGTAATGTGCTCCCTCCCCCTTTCAGAGTTTTCCTGGTTTAGATAGTCTAGAACCTTTGCTAGCATATCCTCATCCATATATGGTCTGTTTTGTGTGTCGTCATTCTCTTGGGCCATGGACAGCCTTTTGCTGAGAGATGTCAACTTGTCTGACTCTTGAGTTCCAAGCTGGTTTAGATGTTCTTTGATAGCCTGCTCAAACTGGTCATCTTCTTGCAAGTCATCCTCGGAGGAAAGTGCGAGTGGAATTTGTTTCATCTGACCTGTATTAACAACCTCAGGATATTTTGCCAGCACCTTGGCTAAGTAGTCTGCCAAGTCTTCTTCCTTTTCATTTAGTGATTCCTGTTCCATTTGTCGTCTTTCCAAATGGTTTAACCAAGCAGCTTTGGGAAACTGGTGCCCTTTAGATCTTCCAGGCATGTAGGAAACTCTTGGCAACTCTTGCTTGAGTTGATTTGCCAGATATGATGGTTTCTGACTCCCTACATTTTCAGTCCCCAAAAGATTGATGATATCTTCCACAGTGAGATCTTCTGGTAGATTATCCGGTATCAAATTAAGTCGCTGCTTTCTGTAACCATTCAAAGAGTTCATTTTATTTTTTAATACATCTGAATTGTCTACATTAATTTCAGGGATGTCATCAACATCTTCTGGGAGTTCAGGCTCTTGCTCTTTTTCACTCTGTTTATCACCAGCTCTCAGCATCTCAATTAAGTCCTCAGGTGGGACTTGTAAATTCCTTGAAATTTCTATTAACTGATAAATAGCCTGAGGATCAAGTTGCTTTCCAGAATATCTGGCAGCCCTTTTGTCTTCATTTTGCTTGAATCTTGAGTTGTCATTTCCAGCGCTGCTTATCATCTTTTTCAAATAATAATCCATCAGCTGTGAAACATCCTCTGACACTTGATCTTTGTCCTCTCTTTTCATCTCATCCTCCAGGATGCTGGACCTTTTTGCTTCGTCATCCATCTCCTCTTCATTTTTCTCAATTTGCTCCTTACTGTCTCTGATCTCTTCCTGGGTTTGACTTTCCACTTTTTCCTCTATTGGGTTCCAGTCTTCTCCTCCCACCACATCTTCGTAGGCAAGGTTGTTTCCTTTATAGGCATCGTCTTCATCATCAGCATAGAGTTTCTGTTCCTCATCAAACCTCCCCTTTTTCAGGTTACTTGGCCCCATCATCTTCCCCAGCTCCTGAAACACTGATTCTAAGGTAGCTAGACTTTGAGGTGTGTACTGCTCTTCCACGATTTCATTTGTCCGCTTATAAGGGCTGTCTCTTGAATTTTCTTCTAAGTAGACATGTGGTATCTTAGAATGTTTGTGCCGTGTCTCAGGCCAGGTGCGGTCATCATAATCATCAGTCATTCCATCTCGGAAGATGTTATCTGAACTCATGGGGTAGAATTTACCTTCTTTCAGGGTTCCCTTTGATTCTTTTTCTCCTTGCCTTAGTGCTTCCAACATGGCCTTAGCCCACTGTGACTCATCTTCTGATAAAGATTCTCTTAGATTGTCCGACAGGTAGTTCTGATCTTTGCTTTCCTTTGGCTGCAGAGCAAATGGGACACTTTGATAGGAGCTATCATCTGGGCTTGTTTCTCCATTGCTGGCTTGTTTTCTGAGGTTTTCTAGGTATTCCAGCGCTTTGATCATATCTGGGCTTGGAAGCCTTTGCAAGTTTTTCATCAGGTAGTCTGGATCTTTCTGGATGTTTTGGTAACGTTGAAATGAAGCAGCACTGGCAGAACAGATCAGGGCAGAAAGCAGAGCAAGAGGCAAGACTGTAGCAAGCCTTGAGGTTTTAGCATCGGCCATGTTTGAAATGTTCCCTTAAAATAAAAAAATGAAAATGAAAATTAACACACAAAAGTTTGGACATTATCTAAGCTCATAGCAATGAAAATTTGACCTATAATCTCTAGAAAACATCAGGATTTTAGGGATGTATTAAACACAATAGGCCATATTCAATGCTAGCCAATTCAAAGTGGACCCATTGAAATTAATGGACATGGCTAAGTTAGCTCTATTAATTTCAGTTGGGTATCCTCTGAGTATAACTTAGAATAGAACTTCTGTAGCTATGCAGTTGTATCCAACACTCTGTGCATGGAGTTCCATTTGCACAATGGGACTTTTTATTCCTCTCCTATGCCCTGTGACCACATTAAAGTATGTTCTGGGTTGTTCCCTAAGCCACTGGAGAAGATCTTAAGGGTGTGCAAGGGGCTGTGGGGAGGAAGAAGGGGAAGTCCCATATGGAATCTGTTGTGTGTGCAGATGCTGTGGACAAAATCCAATGCTGACCACTTCTTGTGCAACAGAAATCGTCTTATGCAAGGGGACTTCTAGTTTCCCATTTCCAGCCTACAGCCCTTCATATGCCCCCCATAACCTGCTATGGAGGGTGCCACAAGTCCCTGGAGCAGACTCTGAGGAGTGCAGGAGGCTGCAGTGTGGAAGAGAATTCCTGGGGAATGAACTATTGCCTTTGTGCTACACTGGATCTCACCCCATAAGTCAATATTCTCCAATCTGATATCCCCTCCGGATACTTTGGACCACAACTCCCTTTAGTCCCGTCCAGCATGGACAATGGTCAGGGGTGAAGGGAGGTGTAGTTCAAAGCGTCTGCAGGGGAAAAGGTTGGGGAAAGATTCAGTAAACTAGAGGACACCAACCTTTTTGAGCTCATGGACACATTTGCAAACTGGGGAAACTATTATAGGCCACTGTAATATACACCACAACCAAGAACACACCATAACTTATTTTCTGTCTACAACAGAATACTTCATTCATGCCCAATTCCAGAGGTGGAAGGGATGGTAGAAGGGCACCATGGGCACTTCATAAGCATTTCCCTATAAAGTAGTTATAGCTATATTCTAATAATAGATTCTAAGCCTTTGGCAGGGGCTCGGCTATTCTATTTATTGTGCAGCATTTCCAATAAAGGTACATACAATAACTTTATAGGTTCGCAAGTACCTGGCTATCTCAGACCAGTTTGAAAACTGCCTAATGGTTTGAGACAGCTCTTTGATTAGTCGTTTAATCAAAATAGAAATTAGTTCATAAAGTATCTGCATATGAAAATCAGAATTGCATCCATCTTTAGAAATGAGAAGGTCTCTGTTCAGCTGAGATCCTGACAACTGTTGGTCTTTTCACCACGTACAGTTTAATAGAGCATTATGTTCTGCTGATTCATTCCGTTCAAATGACACAACTTTGCAGAAGAGAACCGACTCAAAATGGACTACTATAGTGGAAGCAATAGAACCAGGATTCCAAAACTGCAGGGTGATTTTTGTTTGAAATATTGCAGTTTATTCCTATTAATGACTGTCGCTCTCTTTTTTTTTCTTATTTCTTAATGAATTCAAATGGAAGAATTACAGAGAGGAAGCGACGAGGCAGTTAAAATGGTTCTTCTGCAGCAATATCATCAGGGGGCTTGAGAGGCTAAAGCACAGATTGGCAGCCTATAAACTAAATGCCATATGTGCCTCTCCAGCTCCTTGGGTATGCCCTTCCCGCTGAAAGCCAAGGGAGGGGGAGGGAGTGAGTGAATGGATGATAAATGAATGGAAGGGTGAGATGTGTGTGAAGCAATGAATGGATGGTGGATGAATGAAGGGGGGTGTGGGAGAGAGGGAGAAAGAGGGAGAAGGTAAGAAAGGAAGAGAGATAAGGTATGTCCCATTCACTTCTTATTTCAGCACCACCTCTTTCTTTCCTTTCCAAGAGCCTGTGTGGCCCCCAACCTAGGGAACCCCCCTCCAAAAGGTTTTGTGTAAACCTGGAGGATTATTGCTTTTTGAAAATGTGCTTCCAAGCTAAATTGGACTTTGGAAAATGTTCTCCATAATATTTCACCAGGTACATGCTTTTATTGATGCTTAATTTTTTTTAAAAAAAAAAATCTTTGATGGACTATCAGAACAGACCAAAATCCTTTACTGTGTCTTTATGTTTGCAGAATAATCCTATACATGTCTGCTCAGAAATCAGTCCCAATGAGTTCAATGAGGCTCCCTTCTAGATAATTGGGTATTGGATAGCAGTCTATAGCTCACTGATTTCCAGTGCCTTGAATGAACATTTTTGCTGGGTTATGTATATAATTTTGTTGGTGGTAAACAAGAATTCATCTCTGTCAGTCTGTGCATAGTAAGGTGACACACACACACACACACACACCCATTTACATCATAAGGGCTATAATACAACGCATATAAATATAACTCTAAACCTATAACATTATTGATCAGGTGTTTTTGCTTATTTGGCATTTTATCCTTCTGTCTATGAAAGTGGGAAGCAAGCAGTAGCGTCCATTGGATGTTGTATAGTAAGGCTGTGGCTGGAGTAGGGGCTGATTTCTAAAACAACAGATTTAGAGCACTCTGACCACATGAAAATAATGCTGTCTGATCTAGAAGCCCTTCAGCCCAATCCCTGATTTGGGGGAATTCGGTGGTGAAGAGATGAACTGGCAAAGGGCATGTTTATCTGTTGCTACTTAATACATTCTATGAAAACACATAAGCAAATTAAGCCCTGAGTATAGGCTTTGCCTATACTGTTCTCAAAGATTTGAAATAGATTTTTCATGCATGCATACTGTGCTGTGTTTAGATCATTTCTCCAGGCTACAAGGGCACTATTCAAGTTCCCTATGCAGTTAAAATCTGGCTGAAGGAAATATAGGATCTCTAATATATTATTTTCTCTCTCTTTCAGGTAAGAAACCATCCAAGGTAAATCAAAACTATACCAGACATAAAACCATAGCTCAGTGCTACAGCATCTGCTGGTGTGTCCAGGCAGGGATGGGATATACTTTTCCATGAAACCCTGGAGGGCTGCTGCCAGTCAGTGCAGACAGTACTGAGATAGATGGACCAATAGCCTGGCTCTGCACGAGGCAACTTCCTATGTCGTTGCTTAATTCATATTTTTCAGTTCATTCATTTCCCCCTTGCCTTTGTACTCTGTAAAATATCCTGTTGATATGCCTGTGATTCATGAGATGGAAAAATCCCTAATGCCTGTACACACCCACTGCTCTGAGTAGAAAATTACAGTGGATTTGTTATGCCAGTCAAAGCTTCTTTTTCCTTCTTCTTCTTCTTCTTTTGCAACACAGTATGAAATAATTTCACATACTGGGGTAATTGAAGTACCACCGTGTTCCACAGAATTTCCTTGTTTCCTCCCAGCTGCACCACAAATGAGAACTTTGAATAACCCCCAAATGCTACCTAATAATTTGTTAATTTTCAAGACTGGACGTAGAGGAAAACAGTGATTGGAAAGCAATTCACAGTGCCCTTAAGAGAATGGGAAATACTTTTATTCTGTTACAGCTGTTTTTCAGTGCAACAGTAGACATACACAGGTGGCTATTAGATAGCAATTTAACCAGAATTTTATCAAGTCATGAGAAGCATCTTAGAACCATTTCTCTCTTTTTTTGCTTTCTTTCCAAATATTGAATTCTTATCATTGACTCTGTCTTACCTTGCACTCTGGACCATAAAACTTTGTACTTTAACTGTAAATTACCTTCTTTTTTTCCTAGTTCCCTGATAAAACTTAAACTTTTAAGCTCCAAATAAAAGAAAACCAGAGTATACTGAAAATTAATATTTTTAAGAATTGCATATTTTCTATGCTGCCTCAGGATATGATTTTGTTCCAAATAGAACACATTTTTAAATATAAATAGGAAATGATAGGAAAAGGGTGTTTCAGCTGTTTTTGCATGGCAGCTGTATTATTTTCCAGTTTACTGCTTCCTGTGAATTGACATTGCATTCAGGCACAATGGGATTATTCCCAATTACTGTTTATTTTGAAACCCTGAAGTTTGCTTGTAATTCACATTGCATTTATGGAGTACAAATCTACTGTCACTGAATCAAACCCCCACCTCATTGCTCATTATGGAGATGGTTCAACAGTAGCTTCCCTTAAAGCATTTGAAGAGATCCAGTGAGCCCATCTTAACCATGAACATTTTACACTTTCACTTTAATCAGAAAGAACCGTGATCTTCTAGAGGAGAAGAGCAAAACCTTATTTGCTGGGTTTTGTAGTTCTCCTTAAATTCACTACTGCTCTTTAGAAGCATATAGCTTCATGCACATGTTGATAATGTACTAAGAGCACGTGAAATTACCAAAATCACCTTTCTAGGATATTGCCATAGTATAATTGGTTTGCATAGTAATTGTGTAGAATCAACCTTTTCCAGGGCTTTTGGCTGTTATTATTTTTAGTATCCATTATCAGGTGCAAAGTAAATGTTCTTAAATTGCCCAGTAAAACCGTGTTTTTGTACACTTAAGTGAAGTGCATCAGGTGGCAATTTCAGACGTTTCCTGGCTGTGCTATCCCCCTCCCACCCCGCCTGATCCTTGCAGTGGAAACTGTATATGCATAGAGAGTGTGTGCATTTGGTCTCCCATTCTGTTTGTCAATTAAAGAGAAAGTAGGTCTGCTTACCTGTGTGCAGAGACAATTTAAAGCATGGTCTTCGTTATCTGTCCGCGGCAAGTTTATGGACTGTTTTCAGCACCCGGACAGCTCCCTTCGCTTATAGTGTGCATCACCTGACTCTCCACTGCCATACTGACGTCACCCCAGTCGGTCACGGGGGGGGGGGAGCGCAGCTGAGCTGCTCAGAAAGAATGCTACAGAATTAGCTTCGTTTGGGGTGTTTTGCACAGGTTTCCATTGTACGTTTACGCCACCTGCCTTCCTCTAAGAAGAACTACAGTCCTCTTTGCAGTTTAAGCAGCCAGTGAAATCTTCCTTAGACAAACGAATATTACACCTGTCGGATAGGTGCCAGTTCATAGACTCCCCTGTAGACTCTTTCTTTGGGATTGAATCGGATTTTACTATTACTGCTATTTTGAAATCTACTTTTGAGGAAGTGAACCGAAGGCCACGAAAGCTTATGGCACGATAAATTTACTAATCTTTAAGGTGCCAGCAGACTCTTATTAGGGTGTGTGTGTGTGTGTGTGAGAGAGAGAGAAGGTTTTCAAATGGAGGGTGAACTTATGATGGAGGGAATCCTAGATAAAAATCATAATGGCACCTTAAATGAGGGGTGCAATGTCATCTATAAATTCTATATCCCTAAAGCAAGTGCTGTATTTTTGTCTCTTCTTAGTTTCTTAAAACTGCAGGTGAAAACACAAAGAATAAAAATCTGGTGGTGGTTGATTTAAAAGTGCCTGTGGGAGGAAGGGTGGAATAGAAATTTTAAAAATAAATACAAATCAGTGGGGGCCAGGATCTGTGCACAAATAAAAACAAGCTTTCTTCCTTCTGCTTGGGGGCGACAAGGGCATTCCTGCTCCTATTCTACTCCTGCCCAAGAAAAAAGGAAGGGAGACATTTCAGGGAGGAAAGTGAAAGATCCCTCAGTAGTGTGCAGAGACGATTTTGCATTGCCCCCCACCTTCCTCAGGGAGAATTCTGAGTCATTTATTTTTCAGAGAGAGAGATGCCTCAACTATAAAGGGGTAAATGTTCAAATATGCCAGCTGTTCTTCAACAGGTACTATTTAACACTTTAGGCTGAAGCTCATACCAGATGAGGTGCCAGTCACACAGTTAGCAAATGGCTCTTGAAAAGTGCATAGCAGGGGTGAGGAAAGCAATCCAAATTCGGACTGCAATGAAAAAACAAGCACACTCTAAAATAGTTGTACAGTACTAGCATGACCTCTGGTCTTGCTGTCTTCCTCATGGGCTAAGACAGGAGCACAGTGCAATATGTATCATCCTGTGTTTTCCTTTCCCAAGAGATTAGAATGCTCTTTATTCTTAATATCTCTTCCATCCTAGGTGGGTTTTATCCAGTCCTGAAAATCCACATAGTGCTCCAGAGGGGAGGAGTAGAATTAGTGGGTGAAAATGGCAAGGAAGCAGATTTTGGCTAAGCATTAGGTAATACTTTCTTATGGCAAGAGCTGTTCAACACTGGAATAGGTTGCCCTAAGAAGTGCTGGGGGCCTCTTCTCTGGCAGATTTAAGGAGAGGATGGACAGCCATCTGCCAGGAATTCTGGACTTCCATCCTGCATGGCAGATCCTGAATTGAGCAGAGCGTTGAAGTACTGTAGATGACCTCCAAAGTCCCTTCCAACTTTGTGGTTCCAAGAAAATCTCTTGCACCAAGCGAGGGAAAATGCCTTTTGTCATTAACAGATGTGCCCAGATTACAGCATTCCATGTGCACTCTGTCTTGGAATGCCTGACATGAAAATTATTAAAATGTGCCTGCATCCTGCCTGTTCCATGACGACTTCTTTATTCCCCTTCACTTGCAAAATACATTTTTCTTGACAATTTTGACCTTTTGCAGAATAAAAAATAATAATCAAAAACGTGGCTGAATCTTCCTTCCAATTCAATCAGTGTTAGGAAATTAAATTGATGCTAGACACAGTAAATGTGTACTGGGAACACATTAAACTTTTAAGCTTTTATATGCCAGTCTGTTCTTTACATTATGTGTAAGGTCTCTTCCATCTCAAGAAGGAGAGAAGGAAATTACGATATTCTCTTGCCTTTCCACAAACGGTGGCACGGAATATAGACAAGACCAAGTTCTCCAAGTGGGCTACAAATTCAATGCCTTTGGTGTCTGCCGTGCTCTGCAATTGTTCCAGATGCTGCCAAATGATCTCCAAGAACCTGAAACTGCAGTGAAGCGCAAAGAAACTTGTAGGAGAAAGAAGAATGTGATCCGGTAGAATGTTCTTGGAAAGAGATCACACGAGGGGAGTTTCTCTTGGTTCAAAATGCTTGGAAAGCACCTCGCAGCTCCCAGTTTTGATGGCTGAAAAGAGCAGCTTGAATAGTTCTGCTCTAGCAGACTCCCATACAAGAGGGATTGATGGATGTGAGACTTGGGTTGCTTCTGTTGAAATCATCTTTCTTTCCCATCATTTATGGTCATTATGCCTATTTTCTTCTTAAGTCCCCGCCTTGCTGGCTCCTTCACATAAATCAGCTTTGAGTACATTCTGGTCCCCAAAGCAGAGGCTTCCCTCTCCCAACTCTTGTTTCCTCTTTCATTTCATCTGAGTCCCTTCCCTCTCCACTTGACCCAAGCTTCTCTGCTATCGTGCCGCTTCCTTTCTCTTTTCTGTTCCTGCCTTTGAGCCATCTGGCATTCCTATCGATGAATGAGGCTGCACAAACCATTTGTGGGCATGCCTATTTACTTGGAAACCTGTCTCTTTGTGTGTTCACTGAGGTTTGGCCCCAAGAAAGTGTGCATAGGATTCCAGCTCCAAACTCCAAAGCCAGGGGATCCCCTAAATCCTATATTAAATAGAAGGAACTGCACTTGCTGCCAGTATGCTACTGAGCCCTCTTCAAGTTGACATATAGGTTTATAAAGCCCTATACATTTCAGGTTTTGAAATATGGTGCTGGAGGAGACTCTTGAGAGCCCCTTGGACTGCAAGAAGATCAGACCTATCCATTCTTAAGGAAATCAGCCCTGTGCTCACTGGAAGGACAGATCCTGAAGCTGAGGCTCCAATACTTTGGCCACCTCATGAGAAGAGAAGACTCCCTGGAAAAGACCCTGATGTTGGGAAAGATTGAGGGCACAAGGAGAAGGGGATGACAGAGGATGAGATGGTTGGACAGTGTTCTCGAAGCTACCAGCATGAGTTTGGCCAAACTGCGGGAGGCAGTGGAAGACAGGAGTGCCTGGTGTGCTCTGGTCCATGGGGTCACGAAGATTCGGACTTGACTCAATGACTAAAGAACAACAACATACATTTCAGGACTCTCCTTCCTTGGAGGTTCTAGGTTGGATGGCCATCTGTCATTGATGCTTTAGCTGGGATTCCTGCATTGCAGGGGGTTGGACTAGATGACGCCTGGGTCCCTTCCAACTCTAAAATTCTATGATTCTATGAATACCTCCTCCGATATAGACCAGTCCAGTTTCATTAAAATGAAGCTCACCATGTGAAGATGCAAGGGAGAGCCTTCTTGGTGGTGGCCCCCAAGCTTTGGAGCTCTCTTCCCTCTAAGATGAGCATTGAAAGCTAACTGGGGAAAGTGTTCAGTCAGTGGCAGAGCATCTGCTTTGCATGCAGAAGTTACCAGCTTCAATCCTTAGCTCCTCCAGGTAGGACTGGGCAAAGACTCCTTATCTGAAACCCCAGAGAGCTGCTGTCAGGCAGTGTAGACAATACTGAGCTTCCTCTCTTCCTAAGACCTAGTTATTCTCACAGGTCTTTGTGGAGTTTAATGCCACGATGAGTGCTTATTTATTATAATTTTATCTGCACGTGTGTGGGTTTCTTGCTTTGTTTTTAGCTGATTTTCCCATTTGTGTTTATTTATTTACTACATTTGCGTCCCACTTTTCCTCCATGAAGCTCATGGTGATGTGCAGCCTTCTCTACCTGCCTCATTTTATGCTGAAGAGGCCAAAGTCCATCTTGGCTGTGAGTCCTGGAAGACCTGCTCCTTGCCTTGCAAGCCTTTCTCCACCTGGCTGGGAGGGCGGGGCCCAGACTGACTCCAACTACAAAACCTGAGTCTACTGAACAGACTCTTGCGCTGTTTAGGGTTTTTCATTGCTGTTATTGATATTATTATATATATTTTTTGTATCGTTTTTTGCTCTTATTATAATTTACATGGAAATGTTTCAGTTTGGTTGTGTACTTTTTGATGTGTTTTATTTATTTTTTATTACTACTTTTGTTATGTTTCTAATTGTGTAAATCTTGTCCTGCTGTAAGCTGCCTTGCACATGGTTTTTACATACAAGTAAAATGATGATGATGATCTTCACAACAATCCTGTGAGGCAGGTTGGGCTGAGGGATGGTGATGGACCCAAGGCCACACAGTGAGCTTCCCAGCTGAACGGCTGGTCTCCCAGTTCCCACACTCTAACCACTACACCACACTGCTTCTGGCTTGCAATTTTCTTTCTGCAGCTGAATTTGCAGTGAAGAGGGTGTAAGGAAGGTTTTTTTTAATGTTTATGAAATATTAAAGATAAAGGTAAAGGTAAAAAGGTAAAGGTACCCCTGCCCGTACGGGCCAGTCTTGACAGACTCTAGGGTTGTGCGCCCATCTCACTCAAGAGGCCGGGGGCCAGCGCTGTCCGGAGACACTTCCGGGTCACGTGGCCAGCGTGACGAAGCTGCTCTGGCGAGCCAGCGCAGCACACGGAACGCCGTTTACCTTCCCGCCAGTAAGCGGTCCCTATTTATCTACTTGCACTTTGACGTGCTTTCGAACTGCTAGGTTGGCAGGCGCTGGGACCGAGCAACGGGAGCGCATCCCGCCGCGGGGATTCGAACCGCCGACCTTTCGATCAGCAAGTCCTAGGTGCTGAGGCTTTAACCCACAGCGCCACCCGCGTCCCTGTAAAGGTAAAGGTACCCCTGACCATTAGGTCCAGTCGTGACCGACTCTGGGGTGGCGGCGCTCATCTCGCTTTATTGGCCAAGGGAGCCGGCATACAGCTTCCGGGTCATGTGGCCAGCATGACTAAGCCGCTTCTGGCGAACCAGAGCAGCGCACGGAAACGCTGTTTACCTTCCCACCAGAGCGGTACCTATTTATCTAC